GTGTTTCTGCATACTCCACATTCGAAGGAGGTGAATAGGAGCAGTGCTGTATCATACAGACAGGGGGAGCTACCATTGTACTCACAACATGCGCATGACTGTCCTTCACAAGACTCACTTCATCCCAGCAGAAGGATCATGGTGGCGGTGAAATACCCTTGAAGGGTCACGGACTATAATCCTCATTGTACCTTATTTGAATAGTATAGAGAGAAAAACTACATAGTATCCATTTTTCTGTATTAAAAAATTCACATACAAACAGACGTGCTTCCTGTTTTGTATGCAAAAGCTAATCATCTCAATAATGTTCCATTCTGAGTTCAAGTTTAATGGCAGCAGTACCACTGTTATGGTGGGAATTACAATAACACATATAGCTCAGCACATAAATGCAGTGAGGCGGGCACTTAGTTCATATTAAATTACAATTCAGTTGTAGCCAATGTTCACACACCACATTAGCATAAGTCTGCGAAGGAGAACCTTGAGTCATGAAATCAGACTGTGTGTTTAGAGAGAGAGAGAGAGAGCCCAAGAGCCCTGGCAGAGTGAATATCAAATTAGTTAAGGTTTTTAAAGCTCCCCTTGTTTCATAGAAACTTAAGTTTGCAGTTCCCCCCCAACACGCACACACACACACACACACACACACTGTCCTCACATGTCCTTTGAAAGACTTGCGGGACTGCTCTAAAGGCTTTTGGTGTCTTGTGTAAAGCCGACTAGTTACGGCTGCTGAAATCAGTGACGGCTGCTATTTTTAGAATATGTGAAATTTATCTCCAACACACAAATCATGATGAAATACCATATGAAATACGTACGCGTGCCAGTGAGCGTGCACACGCACAAACACACGCATAAACACACACACGCACGGCACGCACACACTCATAACAGACGAGAGGAATCAAACCGACAGAAGGAGAGGCATGGGAGCAGACAAGTGAGAGAAAAATTTACTTTTTGTACCGTTTTTGGGTGCAATTTTGAGGTACTTGTACTTTTGTGAGTATTTCCATTTTTTCTTTCTATACGTTTGCTCCACTACATTTCAGTAGGATTTATTATACCATTTAACTCCACTATTGATATTGTAATATGTCAACTTTTAAAATATGATCCATTGCCATAGATAGAAAAAAATACCATAACCATGACACCTAAATATTGCTTACACTTTAATATATCAGTAATACTATTTAAGTATAATATATATGAAAATATAACACTGTAACACGAGTCATTCTGCATAATGCGTGCAAATAATGTGTAGTATTTTTGATACTTCACTACTGGTATTTAAGTAAGACTTTTAATTGTAAAGGAGTGTTATCAAATTGCATTATTAGAACTTTTAAGTAAAATATATTCAATATTTCTTCCACCACTGGCTATTTGGGGCAATCGTGTGCTCCTAGCTTTGTGTAAGCCGCTTGGGGAAAGCTCTTTCTTGTTACAGCTGTTTATGCATCAGTGCATAAAGAGAAATCCTTAAAAATGTGGTTTTCAGAGTTTGGTGAAGAAAATAATTAACGCCATATTGCCCAGCATCAGTGTCACACCTCACTAATGCTCCTGTGGCTGAATGGGATCAAATCCCTGCTGTAAGGGTCCAGAATCTTGTGGCAAGCTTTCCCAGTAAGGTGGTGGCTGTCATAGCAGCATACTAATGCTCACAGCAGTGGCCTGTCTTTGGCCATCGCCTGAACCATTTGAAGTCTTTTCCACCTGTTTCTCTCTACATCCGCAGTCACTGTCAGCATGTTGTGATCTTGTCCTTGCTACCGTGTGCATAATTTGTTGAAGCTGTCACACAGCCTCTGCAAACACATGCAAGCCCACACAGCATGATAAGGTGCTGACTGGGATTACTTTTGAAATTAAGTCAGGTAAAGGAAGATGACAAGGTGACGGCGAAGCTGCGTGAGGCCTGTTGGAGTGTGATGAGGTGGATATAGAGTCGGCGTGTCTTCCACCAGGGGAAATCAACCGAGGGCAGAGAGCATGGAAAAACCTAGTGGGGAGGAGTCGTGGCCAACAAGCAGAAAATCCTCTCATTAATGAAATCTGCTGATGAAATTAGAACATCTTGATCTGTTGCACACATACACACTTAACGATTTCTCTCCTAATCTTCTCATTAACATTGACAAATTATGTCATGAATTTCCATTATTGGAAATATTAAATTGTGTGTGAACACGGACACAGATCATTGAGGCCATATCACTTTATTTTCTGTTAATGTGAAGGTCACAGGTTTAAAAGCCACATGTTTTAGTGTTGTGTATGCTAACATATAATGTTTACATTACAAACAATTAATAGCTAAAATCAGAGAATACACCAGACTTGTCTTTATTCAAACATTTGGTTTATTGGAAATGCCTTTTGAAATGTTCCATAACACTACAGAAACATTGTAGTTTGCACCACACAAGAACACACTGTTCCATCTTCAATACACAGTATAAAAATACCTTTAAAAATAGCACCTTTTCTATGGCAGGTAAATATGCAGTCGTGATCAGAAACATGACTTCCCCCAAACGGTAAAATACAATATGTACAAAATATTTATATAAATATATATAAAAGTCCTGTTAATTCTCTGCAGATGGTATTTGGTGACTTGCAGTTAGAGCACTTTCAAGGCTTTCATGGAAATCTCCTGGTTAAACTCATTCATTTCAACAATGTTGAGGGGGAAAAAAACGATTTGATTCAAAGTCAAGATCAAGTACACAAAAACTTTAGGAGAGAAGTCAATTTCAACTTCTAAGGAGTACTACGGTAAAAACAACAACCAATCACTAAGCGTTGTTAAGGGCTGAAGTTAGTAGTAAGTTATTCGAGAATTCGGTTTCATTTTCTGCTTTTGGTCTGGATTTACATTCTGTCTGTACTGTTTATCATGCAATGTTATTGTTCTTTTAGTTAACTTGAACTGATTCTTTCTTTGATTCCAATTTTGAATTCGGGGTCAATTTTGGAAGAATTCAACATTCATGGCGCAGTGGCCTTCTTCTTCTCCAGAGCAAAGTCTACTTAATACATTTACATTATTTGCTAACCAAACTAACCCCAATGACAGGATGTCTCTGAAACGAAGCTGAAATACTAACACAAAAGTTACTTTAGCCAGGCAACTTCTTTGCCTCCATGTTGAGGAACGTTACAGTAGGATTATTAGAAGAAAACCTTCGAATGCTCATTTACAAATTGGAAAATATTTTCACAACCCACACCTCTGCCCACTTTGCCACTTTACTAAGTCAGGACATTTAAACAGTCTACACATATAAGGAGTGAGGAAAATAATAAAAACACCTTCCTTGCAGTAAATACCAGTTCAGTGAAGTCCACAAAGAGTGCAATTTGTAGTTTGTGCTGCCAAATCCTCCTGTTAAGTGTATTTTATTGAGTGTTGCTGAGGATCTAATTGTGGTCTTCTTTGCTGATGCAGCTTTCATGTTTTTGGTTGTCATGGTTTTTATACTTCTCTCTTTGACACTTCACAATTGAGGCAACAACAACAACCGCAAATCATTGTTACAACCACACAAATGAGTAAGTTGAACACAGGCCAAAAACAGGCCTAGATTGTTGCAGCTTGCATCCATGGTGCATAGACTGAAATCATTAGAAAATAAACCAAACATAAAAAAACCTTCATTGCTGAAGGGGAATACTGGTCACACCTAGACCAATCCCTTTCGTAATGTACTGAATCCGATCAACAGCTAAGGTTAGTGACTGAAAAAGAAAGTGAAGCTGCGTGAAGTGTTTGGTTTCCTGCTGTTGATCTGTAATAAGGCAGTATTCTTTTTAAGAAAATACTTAGAACTAGAATTACAGCCTTATGGTTGTGTGCTTCCACCAAGCAATCATGTTGCAATTTACATCCACATCTTTCCAAAATGTCATAATTGAATCAATTTATCCTATTAGACCTTTGTGTGAAATTGTCATAATTAGCATATTCATTCTTGAGTTATGGGCGAAAACATGTTTTGTGAGGTCACAATGATCTTCTCTGCTGGCCTAGACAGAATCACAAAGTTATAGCTATTTTATAATTTAATAATTTTTCATAAATACACTACATGTATTATAATTATTTTTCCCATTATCTTATTTTCTCATTGCACAGCTGCTGTCTTCCTCAGTTGCTCTGCTTCCAGTGCAGCTTGTTTTAAGGAGAGCTTTTATCCAATCAGATCTCACCTCTGTGTCTCTAGGTAAGAACAGAGGCCCGAGGCCTGCAGACTCACAAGTGCATCCATGTGCAGTTTAAGTGAATGGGGACGATATTGTTGATTGTCATAGTCTTCAACCAATCAGATCTTTAGTTTGACATGTTGGGCGTATTCTTTGACGTGCCAGAGCCTGCTAGCTGGCCTACAAGTACGTGATTGGTCAGTGGGCTAGCCTGACATGTTGGGCGGTGACAATACCAATATCTGCTGCCTCTGTCGAGCGGACAACTTCAGCCCTCAAACGCATTAAAACATATTCAAGAAATACAACTGGGGAGGCTCGACTGTCTTCACTGGCGTTTGTTTTTACATCTGCAGTAGCTTTAATATGCTTGTTTATATATTATTATTTGTACAACTTGTTTTTATGAAGATGGATTTTTGTTTGCTTTTATATGTGATGGGACACATTTAGTCGGTGCCAGCGTTGCCAACTTTCTCGCTAAATCTGGCGACTTTCCGAACCCTCTTGGTGACTTTTTTTGTCAAAAGTTACAAGCGACAAATCTAGTGACTTTTTCTGGTGTTTTGAATCTGGCGTGAAAGCACGTACCGTTCTGCGCTGCTGTGAGCCGCCCCAAAGCACTCACAGGCGGAAACTCACAGTAGCCTCGCGCAGCAGTCCCAGCTGCAGTCAGAGAAGAGAAGAGACACACTCTCGGCGTATTCATGTATCTGCACTCTGCAGTTAGTGTATTTATAGGTGTTGAGCTTCATTTTTACACAAAACAAATAATAACCGTAGCTGTGTTTTAGCTGCAGGACAGCAGTGAAGGCCCAGGTAGAAAATGCATGGCCCGCCACTGGTAAACACATAATAACTGAACTATACTACAAACTACAGCCTCGAAAATAACCACAGAGTAAAAAAACAAACATCATGAGCTTCACCATATTGGTATTTACTTAAGGCTATCGCATTACACTGTAGTGTGAGTCAGATAGTTTTTTCACTTCCTTTCTGTATACAGACGGAAGTCTTATCATTTGTGTGCAACACGAAACAAATAAAGGTACTGAAGGTACGGATGAGAGCAAAGACACTCTTCTTAAGTGTGCAAATGTACTACTGCACAAAAATAAGTGTTTTTTACGTACTGTACTAACATAACCAAAACTATTTTGTCTGTCTTTTGCATGGTTAGGAGAACATAAAGCAAGGAGACACTGGTGAATTTTGATTGGGTTTACAGAAACAATAAATAAACAAAAACAAATCTTGAAAATTGACAGTTGACAAAATAACGATAAGGAAGATTTGTCCTCAATCATCGTGATGTCTTCAAGGGACGAGGACCTACACAACAGATCACTCGTTAGTTTGCATACATCCAACACTGACATAAACTACCGTGTGTGTGTGTGTTTGTGTACCTTCCGCCTCCCCAAGGCAGAGCTCCTCACACTCCTCCAGGTGGAGGAAGCGGTTGTCGTTTCCTTCACAGCCGCTGTAGATGAAGGGCCTGCAGGCCTCAACCTGACTATTAAAGTACCAGCGCAGAGTGTATCGTCCACAGTTCCCCTCCTCCATGGGCAGCAGGCACAAGTCAGCTGGAGCTGCAGAACACACACACACACACACACACACACACACACACACACACACACACA